GGCATGGCCGTCTGAGGGCCCTGACACAACAACAACAACAACAACAATGTTATAAAAAGACGAGTGTGGTGTCGCGATGTCAGACGTGAACGCCCCGCCACGCCCCTCGCGGCCCCGCCACGCTCCAAGGCTCAATCAATAAGTCCATCACACGGTGCAGCCGACGCGTCCTTTGTTATGCACGTCGCTGCAGCGACGCGGAGTGTCTCCGCGTGGAATCTTTCCCCCTCCCCCCCCCCCCCTGGCCGTGATAAGGCCAGTTCTATAATCGTGCCGGTTCAAACAGGCCAGCCAAGCCGTCGATTAATATCGTGTTGTTTTCCGAGCAGATAAGGAGCGCGGCCTGCGGGGCCTGTGGGGCTGTGGCGGTGCCGGCGATGCACACGACGCAACGCGGCACGCGGTGCCACCTGCACTGTGAGGTGCTTGTGGGGGCCGGGCCCATGGCCGGGCCGAGCGCGCCGGGGTCAGTGGCAGTGTAGTGGCAGTGGCGACGAGCGGATTGTGTTCATGGCTAGAACGCGGCCGATGGGCAGATAGGGCTCCAGAGCAGCGGACTGCGCCCGCGCCTTCTTCAAGTGCCGCGGCAGCCGCGCCCCCCACTCCGCCGGTCCTGAGCGGGGTGGGGGGGGGGGGGGGCAGAGGAGAGGACTTGGCCAGGACTCACAAACTTTCCTGCGGGATCGCGCAAAGCGAAGACGGACGCGAACCATCTCGCAATAAAATCAATGTGTCCCGCCGAATCGGAGCGCGAGGTGGACGACCCCCGCGGGGCCACCCCTCGCCCCCCACCCCTCACCCTCCGCGAGGCCCTGCGACGCGCCGCGCCGCCGCGCCCCGGGTTGTTACGCTATTAAGTCCCGCGGATTGCGATTAGGCGTTACGGCCCGGCGTTACCAAACTTCCAAACCAACCCCTTCCCCCTCCTTCGGCCATACTTCCATTTCGCGCCGCTTTGGCAGAGGGGTCGCCCAAGTTTGAGCAGTCCGGTCGAATCGCCCCGGCCGTGCCCTAAAATGATCCACAGGGAGGCGCGCAGGGTGGCCGCGGGGGCGTGAACCTGGTGGCTTTCGCTACGTGTGCGCGGCGCGGTCACCGCTCCCGGTGCCGAATTCTTTGCCGGCTGCCGCCACGCCGACGTTCCCCTCGCCGATGATGCTTTTCAAATATCGGAAATGGCGCGACTTGCCCCCGGCCCCCTCCTCGGCTCGGCCGCCCTTCACCACCGAGCGCCACGGCGTGGCCACGGCCCGCCAACCGGAGTCCCAAGGACCGCGCCGTCGCTCTGTCTCTCTCGCACCCCTATGGGACGCCCCATGCGTGCGACAGAGACAGCGGAGCGGCGAAACGATCCTCCGGCAGGGGTGGCGGTGGCGGGCCCTTGGGGAGATTGCAAATCCATTGGGGAGGCGCGCGGACCAGCGCGAACCCGATGACGAAGACAAGCACCGGACCATTTCCGTTTTTGCAGCGGTCGTCGTCGAGTGGCCCCTCGAAGAGCCCTCCGTGGGGCAGAGCCCTAGAGAGGGCCACTGTAGGGCTCTGCCCTGGGGTGCCCTGCCCTTGGGTGCCCTGGGTTCGCCGCGCGCGCGGGGCGTGGACGCGGGTCGTCGTCTTGTCGGCCTCCTGGGCGGCGACCGCACGGACCGCACGCGCGTGCGTGCCGCCGGGCCTCGCCGTGCGTGTGTGTGTGAGTGATACTGTATTTTGATGTGGCATGGGCGGCTGCGGGAATTAAGCGCCCTTGTTTAGTGCGCACTGCACCGCCAGTGGAAATTACCCGCATCGCTTCGTGCCATACCAACACGCCACGCGGCGGCGGCAGCGGCGGCGGTCTGTAGAGCCCGTGGCGGGGCGGGGCGGACCAGGGCGCTGCGGGGACATATCATCTCCACCACAGCCCCGCCAGCCCCGCCAGCCGCAGTCCGTTTCGCGGAAGTAAGCGCCACGGGGCCGGGCAGGCCCTCCAACGGGTGCGAGGGAGACGCAACGTCTTCCCAAAGCGACCCGCCCCCGCCGCGCCGTGCCGCGGTTTGGACCGCGGTCGTGAGTGAGGGCACGCAACTCGGTAGCGCCAACCTACGTCAATCGGGTCACATGAACCGCGGCCTCGGCTGGCTCGGCTGGGCTCGGCCGCCGCGCTCGGCTCGACTCGGCACAGTAGCGCTGCAATCGCCTCGCGCTCCGCCGCTCCGCCAGCAGGCGCAGCTAGAGGCACAGCAGGCCATGGAGTGCCGCGGGGAAACCCCTGGTAGACGAGAAGCCCGGTGGTTCCAGCGACGGTCGGCCCGACGGCCCGGCGCAGCGAAGGCAGCGCAGCACTGTTCCCAGCATTTCATTTGCGTAGTCGCCTTAGTCCGCCGTCCCGGCCCGGCCAGGAAAATGGGAGAAACTAGTGACGGGGACGGCAGTACTTGGTACTCGTTGGCACTGCGCGGCCCCCCCCGCCCCGCCCCGCCGTGGCTCTGGATACCAGCATGCGCGCCAGGCAACAATAACGCCGTTTATTTCGAGTCAAAACGACGTCGTCGTGGTGTCGTCTGCTCGTCCCAGTTTTACTGGCGAGTTTTGTCCCGGCAGATGGCCACCCTGCCCCTGCCGCCCACGCAGACCGCGCCGCCGGGCCCGTTTACTTCATTCCGTTTGTTCGTGTGTACCCTTTACGTCCCTTTACCACCACCAAAGCGTCAACGCGTCAGTGCAGGCATGGAAGCCTCGCCGCCCGCGCCGTCCAGACGGTCAAGACGGTCAAGTCGTCGCTGACCCGCTCGGGTACTTCCCTCTCCACCGGTTCGAATAAATACAAGGCGTCCGCGGATAGGACGACACAGCGAACGCTTTCATGCCCATGTTTGTAATTCGTGCTGCTGCCGCGACTGCCGCGCCGCAAGCCGTTATGTCCCGTATGGTCTACTTGGCGGACGCCCGCCCCGCCCCACCCCACCCCGCCCCGCCCCGCCCCACCCCACCCCGCCGCGCCTCGCCCTCCGTGATGTGGGCTCCTCTCTGCTCTTTCTTTCCGTGCCTTTTTACTCGGAATCACGTGTGCTGGGTAGCCTGCAGAATGCAAGTGCGGCTTGGCGGCGTGTGGGAGTGTCTGCCTGTGTCTTGTGCGTGCAGGGACTGCAGTGTAGGGGAAAGGAAAACTAAGTTCGTTCCCAGAATGATTTGTTTCGAAGCATAGGCCGGCCGGCCGCCGGGCCCTGCCTCACCTGGCCGGGCTATTTTCCCCCGGGACAGCAGAATTTGTGAAACGTTCCGGAACGGCCATGCCTTGCTGCCTTGCTCTGCTCATGTCCCGAAACTGGCCAACTTCACTTTCCGTGTGCGATGGAGAGGCAGAGAGGCAGGCTACCGTGTCGCGCCGCCCATCCTTGTCGCACTCGGGACTCGAGGTTGCGGGGCCGTGCGGGACGAGGGGTGTTGCGTGTTGTGTTAGGGGTCGCGAGACAGGTGGCGTTGGAGGCCGCGCCGTCCAGTGCGGTTGCAGGCTCTGTCCGAACCGTGCTTTCGTCGCTCTCTCTCTCTCTCTCTCTCTCTCTCTCTCTCTCTCTCTCTCTCTCTCTCTCTCTCTCTCTCTCTCTCTCTCTCTCTCTCCCTCTCGCACGCGCAGGGCGGCCCGAAGGGGTGCAAGAGAGACTGCTCTGAATCGGACTTCAGTCTCCAGGCCAGGCAGGCGAACGCGCGATCTGCTCGAGTTTCTCCGCAAGCTACGCCACGCCGACAACTTCTATAAATCATATCTGTGTCAGGAACTGTCTCCTCGTCCCCCATCTCCTACAAGCGTGACGCGCGGACGGCGTCGCGACGCGCGGCGTGCCCGCCGGGCTGTACTGCTCGACGCCCCCCTCCCCCCCTGCCGCCGCCGTCCAAACGACAGAGAAATTGGTGTCGATTGGCGTGGAAGCGACGCGACTGGACGCGGCCCGTTTTACAAGTCTTAGCCACGTTGGCCGTCGTCGGCCTCGTCGCGCCATTCTCACACGCACTCGCACCGTTAGCGTGGCGTTAGCGTGGCGTTAGCGCCGGCAGTCCAGCCACGGCAGCCCACGGCCCCACGGCAAGGGTGGCCGCGGGCAGGGGGACGTCGTCCACGTCGTGGAGTCGTCGCCGCGGCCTGAATTCGAGGACACGCGGCGCGGCCGGCGCGGCGGTGTGGTTGTTGTTGTCGGCCGGCGCCACGCTGCGCCGCGCGCCGCGCCAAGGCTGCTGCTAGAGCTGCTCCTGTTTGCCCCTCCGCCGCCCCCACCCCCACCGCCACCGCGCACCGCGCACCGCGGCCAGCGCGCCGTGCAGTGGCGGCGGCGTCGGAGGCGGAGGCGCCGTGCGGACGCGGAGCGCCGGCTATGAAACATTTTTGTTCAAATTTTGACTTTATAATGGCGGTTTGGCGTTCGGCAACGCTGCTGTGTCCGCGCGGGAGAGGGGGAGGGGGAGAGGGAGGGACAGGTTCCCCCACTCCAGCCGCGGCTGGCGAGCTGGCGCCCCCTCCCACCCCCAGCAGCAGGCAGCAGCAGGTCCCCTTCCCCCTCCACCGCGCGCGACGCGGCGACGCGGCCCGGCACGGCGCTGTGTTTCCCGCCGCGCCCCCACCCCCTCCCTCCCCCTCCCCTGGCCCGCTCTGCTCACCAAGTGCAACGACCGGTTGGGTTTGGTTCGGCTGCTTGCTGCTTGGCAGCCCGATGCCGTCCGCCCCGTCCCGTCCCGTCCGCGCGCCGTCCCGCCGATGCACCCACCACGCATGCGCGCCGCACTGCGCGCCGCGCCGTACTCCAGACGAGTGGTCGTTGTGTTTGAGAAAGGTTGGGTCGCTCCGTCCCGTCCGTCCTGCCGCTCCGCAGCCGAGCCGACCCATTCCCTCGAGTCGTATCGCCGCCGCTACGTCGTCGCCACGCTCAGCGCGCAGCGCGCCACCAAGCCGCCAGGGCTCCGCGTCCGCGCACTAGCCCGTCGTTCCCTCGCGCCGCCCTGCGCGCCCTGCGCCTTGCCGGGACCCCCGCGACCGGCTGGCACGTCGCCGCCCCCTCGGCGCCACCCCCTCGGACTGTGTCGTCTGCCGCGGAACATGTGATTGTGGCGACTGGACCACGTGTGTGTGTGTGTGTCGTGTTGTCAGCGCGGCGTCGGTGCTGCCGGAGTGCCAGTGCAGTGACAAGTGCATCGACAGCTCAGTGCCTCAGTGATTTTTATTATTTACTCGATACCGTTTTCTAAACAGTGTGTTTTTAAGTGTGTTTTTAAATGAAAGTGGTGTGAACCAGCTCCAACATGAGTGCGGATTACACGAGGAATGTGTCGAGCAGTTCGTCGAACAACATGCACCACGTGAGCAGCAGCTCCAACAAGGGGGGACGGCCGGTGTCCATCCTCCCCAACATGTCCATCCAGAATATGTCCAACTGGTCGCTCATGAACATGAACATGGCTAACATGGCCAACATGACCAACATGAGCAACATGTCATACCCCATGATGCGGCCCAGCGTCATGGTGAAGCAGCGCAAGACCAACTTCACGCAGAGGGAGGTGGACGCGCTCATCAACTCTGTCCGCCAGCACCAGGACACTGTGCTGTTCGGCGTGGCCGGCGGCCCGGGCTGGGCCAAGGCCTGGACCCAGGTCGCCGCCGCCGTGTCCGGCGTCGAAGGCATCGTCCGCAGCGAGGGCGACGTGCGCAAGAAGTGGACGTACCTCAAGTGGGAGGCCAAGAACACCAGCAAGCCCGACAGGGACTCGACGTCGCGTGCCGTGCTGCAGATCCTCACGAGCCGCCAGAACCAGATCGACGCCGCCAACCACCACGCCGCGGCCACCCTCAGGGGCGACATGCGCATCAACGACGCCCGCGACTCCCTCCGCGACGCCGTGCAGTCGTCGCGCAGCCTCCTGGAGGAACTATTAGGTGAGGCGTCGTCGCCGTCGTCGGCGGCCACCCTGCACTTGGGCGGCAGCACCCTGCGCCGCCCTGCGCCGCCCCGCGGAAATAGGTCATGTGGTCTAGGCTGGGTCTGGTCCTAGACCTGACTCAATGTGGGGGGGGGGGGGCGCACGTGTTGCCCTTTGCCTCCTTGCAGGCGGCATGGCCGGGCATGGCAGCGAAGGGGAGGGGCTGGAAGCCCTTCCTCGCAGGGCTCGTGAGTCATGTGCATGCACGGACGGCACAGGCCTGGTGTCGCAGGTGACAGGCCTCGTACTGTACGTACTGGTTCCCTCTGACGTCAGCTTCTGGGAAAGGACGACTTATTCCTTGATCCGTGGTGCCAGCCGTCCTGGACGAGTGCGTCAGGTTGGTCTAGGTAGGGCCGAGGCCGGGGTCTCTCCGGTGCAACGGTGCGACCCGGGGCAGTCCTTTCAGGCCCCCCAGGCCACCCGACCCTGCAGCTGCGTAGCAGCGGAGGGCGCGTCCGGGGCGCCGGCCTGCCTCCCGCACGCCCCGGGCTGCACGACGACCACCCTGCCGCCTCGGACGCCGCCCCGGCCCCGGTTACCGCGATAACTCCCCGACGGGCTGACGGACCGCCGCCACGGCCTGACGGGGATCCGACTGACGGGGACGCGGCGGCCGCCAGGGACCGCCAGGAAGCGGGCAGGAAATGGCACCGGAAAATTGGACCTGGCCAACCTGTGTCTGTGGCGAGTCCGCGGCCTTCGCGCCGTGATGGGGTGGTTTGTGGCGACGCGTCCAACACGTGCACGGCCTGCACGGCCTGCACGGCCTGCACGCGGCGAGGGAGGGGTGCAGCAGCGCGAGCAGCGCCGCCCCGGAAGGGCTGCAGCATTGATGGATGAAGGGCGGATAGAAGGGCCCGCTCTGCATGGTGTCGAAGGGCTGCCCCCCGAAATCGATGTGTCGGCCACCTGCGCCGCGTATCGCCGCATCGCCACCGCGTGCGGGTACTGTAGAGCCGTGCCGTGCCGTGCCACGCCACGCCACGCCAAGCCCCCATGGCATTATCTCCCGCAGGTGCCCCAGTTTCGGAGGGGCTCGGGGCGTGCAGTGCACTGCGTTGCACTGCAGTGTGGCGGCGCCTCGGCGGCGCCCATGCTCCCCGAGGCGATCACCGTCCTGGGGGCCTCGGCGCCCCGTCCAGCCAGTGCCGTGACCCTTGGCGTCAACAGCTGCGGCTCGACGGCCAAGTCGCGGGTCAGGGGGCAGGGCGGGGGTAGTGGTGGGGTCAGGGGGGAAGCCCGGCAAGTGGCGTTGTATGGCTGCTATTGTTTTAAATGGGCTGGTGTCGTACGAGGGGTGATCACCCCTCACTCCCCCACCCCCTCCCCCTCTGCTCCAGATTGATTGATTTTTTTTTTTCATTCTGTCTCTCTCTGGGCGTCCGTGGCATCCCTCCCCGCGGCTCCCTCCTCCTTGGTGGTTGCGCGCATGGGTGGTTCGGCCACTTGAAAAGTGGAGTAGGCTAACGGCGGGGAGGCGCGGAGTGGTGGTTTTAACCCTTTGTGATGGGGGGAGTGCGAGGCAGCCGGAGGCAGCCAGAGGGGTGGCGAGGGCCAGTGTTAAATTTGCCGCTGGATTTGGGCGTGGCGAGGCGCGGCGCGGTGGTCGCGGCCTGTTCGCGCGGTCGGCCGGTTGCGCAAGTCGAGTCGAGTGGCCGCCCGGCTGACATTCCCAATTTCACCCTCGACGCTTTCGACGAAATTCGAAGTTGTTTTTGTCCTTTTGTGGTGTTGCAACTGGCGTTCGGTGGCGATACCCGCGGCGAAATTCTGCGTAACCATGTTAATGCCATAAGCCATCCGCCTCGGGCCAGTAGCTGTCATTATGCAGATTCGGCGCACTCGTCTAGTGCACGAGTAATCAGGCCGGTCGATGGGACAGCCACACTGGCACGGCGGCATGGCCACGCCGCGCTGCGGACCCGGAGACCCGGCCAGGTTTTGTTACCAAATTACACCAAGTTTGGCGCGGCGCTCGGTTCGCTGACTGCGCTGCAAACGGCGCCCCAGCCGCCCCGGACGCGGCGCTGCGGATGGTGCTCCAGTCCTCCAGTCGCCCCGGCCGCACCGCCGCGCCGCCCCCCGGCCACGGCGGCCACGCCGGCCAGGCCACGGCGGCCACCCTCCCCGGCTCCTCGGCTCCTCGGCCGCGCCGTTTGGTATTGATTTGCTGGTTCGAGTTTTGCGGGTGATTAGCAGGCGATTCCGCCAAGGCGCGTGCTGACTCAGGACAGGGCTCCGCGATTTGGCCCGGCGGGGTGGGGCGGGGCGGGGCGGGGCGTCGCTCTTCCCCCGAGGGTGGGGCGGGCGACGCACCTGTGCGCTTGAGGACGCCGGCGGCGTGGCTGTGGCGGACCGACCTGTTTCGAACACCGCGCGATGACAGGCAGAACACTGCGGTGGATCGCGTCCATGGAGCCCGCGAGACGGGCGTGGCGATGACTGGACAAAATCACGTTACGAGATAAGCAACTTCTTTTTATGCATTCTGTATTTTTGTTCAAAGAAATATTTGTTTGTTTTGGGTTTTTCCTATATTTTCTGGAAGAAAAATGCTCTTTTTTTGTCCTCGTGATTTTTGAATTCCGCCCACCCCCTTCCTTCCCCTATCGGTGACGGCCACCCCGATGGCGTGTGTTGGGGCGATGATTGATGACAGGCAGTGTGTGTGCGTTTGTGTGTGTCCATCCCCTCCCCGTCCAAACTTGGCCTCAATTTGGGAGGGGGTAAAAAGTGATCGGCAGGCCCCCCAAAAAACATGCGCACTTTTAAAAAGGGTTTGCTTCCTGAGCGATAGGCTGCGTCCTTTTCCTCCGCGATAAAGCCTTTCGCGCGCAGGCAGGCAGATTAATTAGCGGCTCGTTGAAGTAAGAGTCCTATTCGAGGAAGGGTTCTGGCGGAACTGATTTGTGTCGCCTGGTCGGCGGTTAGTGTTGCCTAGTGCTCCTTTAATCGGGAAACTTTGCAGCTTGATTAGTCAGACGGCCTTCGCTTTACCGCCTAAGCAGCCAGGCAGGCAGGCAGGCAGGCAGCCGCCCTGACGGAGGACGGCCTGCATTGAAAGCCTCGTATGAAATATTGATTCCCCGGGCGGCTGGCTGGCGAGGGACCCGGAGGGACCGCTGCCTTCAAAAAACGGGCCGTGCGGCGGCGCATTGTGCCCGCCGTGTCGCCGTCGCCGAGGTGCCGAGGTCCGCGACGACGACCCTGCGGCCCTCGGTTCGCGAGCGCGTGCACTCCGCGCCGCCACGGTGTGCCCCAGTGTCGCGGAGAGGCGCCTTCCAGTGCATCGGAATCGGAGGTGCCGTCCAAAAATAACCCGGAAACGAACTCGGCCTCCGGACCTCCGCGCCCTGCCCGAGGTTGCTCGCGGCGCCGCCCTCGCTGTTGTTTTCACCGTAATATCTTAATATTTTTTTTATTTTCTATTTTTTGCCGTAGTTGGTCCGTCTTGTTTCCTTCATTGTGCGCCGCGTTTGAGACAAACATCGGCCCGCTTATCGGCAGTGTGCCTGCAAACAACCCAAGTCGTCCGCACCGTTGGGCCGCGCGGCCGCGCACCGCGCATGCGTCGTCCGACCGAGAGCCTCTCGGCCCTCCTGGCCGCCCTGGCCGCCTTGGCCGCGGCGCCTCTTTTTATTTGGAACCATTTTCGCCACAAAACATGTGTCGCGTAAACTTTCCATTTCTAGAACGCAGTTGAGATGAACGGCGGTCGTGGAAAGTTGTTTGTGCGCGAGCTCACTAGTGACTCAACGCCAGAAACTCGAGTGGCGGGTTTCGGTTTGGCAGAGTTTGTGGGCCACACCGCCGCCCGCCGCCACGCCGCCGTCGCGAGCGCACATTTAAATCGCTGACGTCCGCGATATCCCCCGCGCGATACAGACGCGCATGGAGGATGATAATCTAGTGGCCGTGTTTTCTTTTTTCCCGTCCTGGGACTTCCCCCGCCGTGTCGTGTCGCCGTCTTCGCACGGGGCAAGAGGTGGTTGTGCCGCGTCCCAATTAGTGACTGCCTCTACACTGTAGAACCCTCGGGCCGAGCCGAACGCTCCGCGAGCTCGACAAAGAGAAGAATTGTGTTGCAACGCGCTCTCGCCCTGTCCCGTCGCGTCACGGCCGTTTCCAAGTACCGCACCGCGCACGCACATGATTCCACGCGCCTCCGTCTGTGTGTGTGCCGTGGAATGTTCGAGTGGATGCATATGATCCGCGTGCTGGCAGTGTGCTGGCTCGGTGGCGCGCATTGTCAAGCTCGCCGTCGTACGTATTCCCCTGCTGACGGCGTGGCTGCTTGCGTGCGGTGCTCTGCAGGACTCGGTTTCCTCGAGTCTGTCTGGCCGGCGGAGCCAGTGGCGGAGCCCCTCCCTCTGGCGACTGCACCAATGAGCACGCCTTTCCGTACAGTCTTATCAATTCGGCACCCGTTTTCCTCCAATGGTGTGTACCCACATCCGGCCTATCCGCGCGTGCCGCCGCCATCCCTGCCTCGTGCTCCGCCCGCCAGCCCCGCCAGCCCCCTCACATAGTGGGCCGGAAGACCAGTGGAGGCGGCCAAACTTCTAAACGCGTTTTGAGCTCCATGCCGCTGAATGGGACTCGAACTGAACGTGTGACCCTATCAATGGATTCCTCGTTCGGAGAGCAATCCATTGGTGGGGTCACACGATCGGTCCGAGCCCTACATAGTGACTCTGAAGCTGAAAACGCGTCTAGAAGTTTGGCCGCCTCCACCACTGTGCCCCGCCTCCCCGCCCGAGCAGGCAGGCTGGCGGCGACGGTGGCACCGTTGTAACGATTCAATGAACGTTTGCCTCTAGTTTCTCCATTAGCGGGTCATCGCCGCCGGCCCGCCCAGCGGGCGGCTTTCGAACTGGGCTTTCTGTCTCCCTCGCACGCGTGCGGCTGGCGGGGCTGGCGGGGCACTCGATGCGAGAGCGACGGAGCACCGTT